GGGAAAGAGGAGACCTGCTCTCGACCCCTCCAATGCTGCAAGCCCTGTGATTGCCCACCCCAGCTGTGCTCCAGGGAGCAGCATTTCTCACAGAAAGCCTCTGACCGCACTGGGCTTCTTACCTGTTGCTTCATAAGGAACACCTGCTCATCCTCTGCAGCCAACTCTTTGTCATGGACCAGCTGTGAAGTGACACACACGTTTGTGGCCACAGGCCAAGAACAGTTCCACCTACTGCCAAAATTCATGCTGAAAGGAGAGTCGTGGGCTTGGGCCTCAACATGGGACAGGGAATCCCTGCTGAGACCGTAGAGTTAAGCTTTTCTACCCTGGCACAGAGCTCCACCCCAAGCCAGCTGTGGCACGTGCCAAGTGACATTTTTAAGGTCAGCAGTTTCTAAACAGCATCTCCCAGATCAGGGTCTGCAGGAAATCAAGAGGTGGTGATCTAGTCAAAGTCATCCAGAGGCTGGGGCAGCACAAGGACTACGGGGTAGGCCACTGAACTCCCCTGGGCACTGCATCACTCATGGTCCACCTGCTTCAGCCATTTCCGTTTCACCAGACCCACCAGACCTAACAGGAAGGCCCTCAGATTACTTTTTTGCCCCAAAGTGGGACAATGTGTGAGAGCTGTGTCTTTATAGGTTTCTCTTCCCATTACAAAACACCTGCCCTCTTAAAGTGGTGGATTTCGGTACCTTTCTCACAGGAGGCTTCACGATAAAGTCTTCATATGCATCTTCTGGCTTCACAGTTGTGAAATTTTCATGTAAAATAGCTATTTTCTTCTCATTGTCCCAGCCTGCAGGTCTAAAGGCAAAGAGACAGAGACTGACTTGCTTTTCTGGGACTGCCTCACAGTATACTCAAGAGCACATTCCAGCTTAGAGGAGCCCCCTGACAAGACCCTTTTCCACAAGGTCTGTAGCTTCTAATACAGCTCAAAGCTTCCAGCAGATAAACCAAACCCACTGGATCAATATCACAGGTCCTGCTCCAGGCTGAGCTCATGGGCCCAAGGCCTAAAGAGCAAGCAGGAGATCTGATTCCACATACAGCCCCAGTGGAGGTGTTGAGAGCTCTCCCACAACTCCACCTAGATAAACCAGGACACCTTGGGCCCTGTTCCAACAGAGAGGATGCAGAGGACAGAGGTCAGGATAGACTGCTGTCTCTTGGGCTTTGCATGAAGACGCCCATTCTGAGGGTTACTGATCTCTGTGAGAATTCTTATTTCTAACCTTGCAGATTGATTCATTAATTTTGCTTGTCTGGGAAGACGTGCCTTCCAGCCAAAGTGTGACTAGGTCCTACAACGATTCTGGGCCCCAAATCAGAGGGGCACAGGAGTCCCTGAGGGTCCTCCATGGCTGCTGCCAACTTGAAATCACAGGGCAAGATGGTGCCCAGGTTCTACTAAGTTAAGCTGCACCCTCAGGTTCCCACTTAAAAATCTCTTTAAGGTAGCAATTATAAATTGTCCTATATGACACACTTTTGAACTCAAGAAGCTCTGAAAGATGACAACTAATTGTTCTCACAGGCCTCTCATTTTCCATCCAGTTCTGGCTTCGTTGTTCATAACCAGGAGGGAGCTTAGCCACAGTGCTCCACCCAAATGGCCTGGTTGACTTTACCAGACAGACACCGGCCAACAGACCAAAGGTACCCAGGGACAGGGAATGACTGAGATCCTGCCAAGACCCAACAGCCGTCAGAAGCTGTGTGATGCTTCTCTATTCCAGATCAGCCCAAATCCAACTGGCCTCCCAGCTACTTTTGCGCCTCAGGATCACATATGATTTGATCCGTGATTCCAAAAACACACCACACACTTGAGTTTATGCCTCTGGTGCCTGCCTGACTGTTCTAGATAATTCTCTAAAATTGGACCAACCTGTAGGTCTGACGTCTATATTCAGTTCACTGAGAGCTCCTGACTCTCACACCTCAACCTCTGCCCCTATTCCTTCAGGTCTTCCTGGAGTGATCCCCTCCTTCCAGCATCATCCCCTCAGACTTCCTGTCCACACATTCCCACTTCCCATCACTGCTCTTCAGCTGTGTGTGTGTCCCCTACAGTGCTGTGGACAGGGACCTCATCTCATTCACTTCTGTAGTCCCCTAAGAGAAGCTGGACACCTAGGAGGTGCTGGCTTCATCATTATTTATACATCTAGCAACATTTATGACTCCCCGGTGAGACACACAAGTGGGAAAACAGGTATTCAAGTCTCTGTCCAGGACAAGCAACCCCAATGACTCCCAGAAACGTGAAATAATGGAAAAACAATAAGGTCTCAGGATGGTCAAAGCCCATGCTGTCAGAGAGGCTGAGAGAATGCTCGCAATCATCCACGCCAACAGGAACAGAAACCAGATGCTTTAACAGAAGACATTCACGTTCCACAAAGTCTTATTCGCTATCCCTAACCCAACTCAGCTATTAAAAAAAAAAAAAAATTTACTATGGGGTGCATGTACTCACCAGAGAGAGAGAAACAGTGGGGAAGTGAGAAAGCACCCTGCTGGGGCAATGGCCATGCCACAATCTCTTCTCTACCCTTCTCTCAGGATTTTTGGCATGAAATCAATGCACCCGGAATGTTTTCAGGCTGCCAGGCCTGGGAATCAAACTACACAGCTGGCCACGTGGGATCCAGCACCTAAACCACCACACCACCAGCTGGCCCCTCAGGAGTTTCACCAGTTGACAATAAGTGCCCCCAACAGCTGGCTTAAGTTCTGACAACTTGCTCTCAATGAAGGCAGCACCCCTGACCACAGCACCCCCTGTCCTCAGGCAGAATGACTCACAATCTGGAAACGAGCAGAGAGGGAAAGCTGGGTAGATCTACAACCTGTGAGGCCCAGTCCAAGGACCCTGCCCCAAGGCAGAGAGAGCTGGCTATATGACATAGAAAGCACCTCTTGTGAAAGCGCAGAAGATGGAAAGCAAATGTACAATAAATTGCGTAAAAGCGTTATCTCTAAAGAACTCACATAAAAACTGCATCCTTTTCCACCACTAAGGCAGGTGTGGTAAAGTGGAAGCCATATGTTTTATGAACAATGTACTTATACAACAAGTCAAGGTTTTTCTCTTCCTTCACCGATGTGTAAATCAAGGCAGCACCATCTAATCAGTCTGCTTAAGGAAAATCAATTCATTGTAAGAGACAAAATCAAATACATGGAAGCACAATCCTCAAACTACTGCCCACACATTGATCAGTTTCTGACCAAAACATGAGCAAACACAAAATATTTCAATTCTAACAACTAAAAAAGTAATAGTAGTAGACGGACCAAGTCAAAAGCATAAAGCATGAGGCTGGTAGTTAGCACTGTGGTTAAGGCGCTGGACTCCCACATGGCCAAGTGCAGTTTGAGTCCCAGACCTAGTGGCTTGCTTTCTCATTTTCCTTCTCTCTCTCTCTCTCTGGTCAAGTTAAAACATAATAGTAAATGGAATTAAATAATTTTTTTTTAAAGCATAAAGCAGGTGGATGCTAATGAGCCAAGTTCATTAGTATGTAAGCTGTCGTCTTGCCCCCTCAGGTTGTCTCTCAAGATGTCAAGTTAAGCGCTCAGGCTAGGCCGTAAAAAAACCTGTACATCAAAGCAGTGTACGCATTCCCCCCCCAGGCATTTCTCTCATGACGGCGCAAAACATAAACATATGGGAAGCACCTGTAGCATCTAAAACCGTATCTGTTTGGTAATTAACCTTTTCTGAATAAAAGCAAAGTTTAAAGAGATTTCTAAGACAGTAATAAGAGTCATTTACTAAAATGGCCACATAATCAGCTTAATATGAACACCTATCAAATACACAGCATTAAAAATAAAACAAGACCAAAAATAAGCACACATTAATAAGCTTCTAATCATAACACAGTAAAATACAAAACTAATAAAAAGATATTTCTCCCTGGCAGAAGCTGTTCTGGGCTCAGGAAATAAGATGTTCTCTCTCCCTCAAGATGACCCATCTGGAGGGAAGCTGTGACCCTGGGCCCCAGGGCAGAACCCCAAGGATACACTGGAGGCAGAACCTCCGCAGGTGTGACTGGATGAAGTCCAAGTGCTCGTCCCTGTAATCGTGCTCCTTCTCCAAGACGCTCACTGCATCGCACTATGAGGAAGACAGAGAGAAAGTCACCTTTTTGCCTCTTTGCCTGACAAGGATGGGAGCAGCACCTTCTTAAGAAGAAGGTATCGGAGCTCTAAAGAAGTCACAGCCAAAGGTCCAAGTGTTAATTAGAGAAGAGTAAAAGGAACTGGAATTTTTAAATTTCATCTCAGGCCTCAGTTTATTTTTCTGTAAAGGAGAGACAGAACAGGCCTGATGGCCACACACTGTTCTAAACATCTATAGGGCGGGCGCCACCACGCCCCCGTTCTAAACATCTAACAAGGCTGCAACAGGCGGCAGGCCCACTGAATATACCTGTACCCTACACTCCACAGGGAGCCTTTCTCAAGTGGAGGATGAGAATGGCACACCCTGAAGCTGGGCAACAAGGTGGCTCTGACCGGAAATAAAGTACTGTTGAACCTCCAAATTTTTAAAAGTTTATACTTGACTTATTTTATTTCTATTTTGAGAGCATGAAGGTGGGGACACCTCAAAAAGACCTCGTCACACTGTAATCCCCTTCCTCCAGCCCTTCAGCTACTCAAGATCTTGGGTGGACACACCTGGTATGTTTCAGGTGGATTCAGAATCTAAACCCATGGTCAGCCACGTGGCTCCCAAAACTGCACGACAGGACACTACTGCCTATGCCAACGCAGCCAGGCCCGGAATGTTTGCAAAGCTACTTTTTTTTCTTTTGTGAGAAACACAACTTGATTTTCTATAACTGAACTGAATTTCTATTCCCTTTCATCATTCTATTTTTTCCGTTATCGGTTCAGAGCAGGTGAACTGTTTTCCATGGCCTTAAGAAAAATGCTTTCAGATCTGCGTTTGACCATAAAGTTGTTAGTGCTTCATAGAGATTAACCCAGGCCACAAGCAAACTGAGAGATGTCATGTTTCCAGCAACAGAGCTAAATGACAATTACTTCCATTCTGATATGTGAAATGTACCTCAATGAATCCCAAATAAGCCCAACTCTCTTGGGAAGAAACTTGATCAAAACTTCTCAAATTTTTGCCCAGATGGTGACTGTGGGCCAAACCCAGCCCAGCTTACCGTCCCTGGCACGCACCTTTGTGCACACCACCAGCACCGGGATCCCCAGGTTATGAGTCAGCACGTTGTCGCCCAGAGGCAGGGCAACATTTTCTTCATCAGAGCCTGAGGTCAGAGGCCCTCTTCTCTGTGGGGAACCTTGACAACCTTCTTCAGGCTCGATATAGTCTTGAAAATCTTTCATAACTAGAAGAGAAAATGGGAAAAAAAAAAATTCACACAAGTTAAAATACATGTTACATTCAGGAAACTGAGGCAGGCCATAACGAGCACATAACTAAAGCAGTTTTGTGTGACAAACTTGACGGTTGCTTCTAATCACAATATTAGGGATCTGGGGCTAATGATTCAAAATGCTAACTCTGACATATTTGGCCTGAGCTTTGTAGCAGCAAAGACATCTCCCCTGGATATCTTTCATTGCAACCATCTCCTAAAAAGGTTTTTTTTTTTAAATATTCTAAGGCTTGGGGCCGGAAGATGACATAATGGTTACATCGCTAGACTCTCACATAGTCGACCACAGTTCGAGTCCTGAACCCAGCGCTTATAATTCATGCCAGGCATATGGGCGTGTATGCCCAAAATCCCAAGAAAAGAATGGAGAAGGGACTACACTGTGGCTATTCTCCATAGGGGGTGATTTCTCACTTTCCCTCTCTCTCTGTCTCCAGTGAGTACACATGCATGTGCCCTATGGCAAAAAAATCTAAGGAAAAAAAAAAGAAATACCTATAACTGAGGTCAGCCTTGTAGCATAATGGTTGAGGTAGCCAGATCCCACATGGCTGGAGAAAGTTCAAATTCCCACCCTACCAGCTTGAAAGACATTCTGGGCACATGTGTGCATGCCCAGAATTCCCAAAAGATGGAGTAGAGAGGGGATTGCAGAATGACCATGCCTCACTGAGGGGACACATGCATCCTCTGGCAATTAAAAAAAAAAGAAAAAAAAGGGCCAGCCTGTGGTGTGGTGGTTAAGGCTGCGGGATCCCATGTGGCTGAATATGTGGTTTGAGTTACAGATCTAACAGCCTGAAAAACATTCCAGGCACATATGTGTGCATTCTCAAAATCCCAGAGAGGGGCAAATGGAGGATAAGGAATTGCAGCATGACCATTTCCAATGGGGGGGGTTAAGGTCCCATCTTCTCTCTCTCTCTCTCTCTCTCCAATGGGGGGGGTTACTTTCTCATCTTCTCTCTCTCTCTCTCTCTCTCTCCAACAAATGTACATGCCCTCTGGCAAATTCAAAAGGAGAAAAGAAATGGCTATAACTTACAAAACCCTGACCAAGTCCTCATTAGAGATGCTTAGTGAAACCGTTAGAATTCCACAAGGCCATGCTGTTTCCACACTTGAGCTATGCCAGGACCAAGTAACAAAGCTGGACCTGCCCAACACCAGCCACATCGCATTATCCTCACTCTTCGGGGCATCCTGAGTCATGTGCACATGTTCATGCCCTTTTATTGCCTAATATATGAAAGGATCAGTGGTACGACACCCACTTCTTGTTGCACATGTTCACTATTCCAGCTAACAAGGGCCTTCAAGGTGACAGTGGTCCATGGCCTCAGTAAGCCAAGAGACTGACCATGAAGTCTGTAAACCTGCAGCTTTACATGGGCATGCCAAGGCTCATGTGTCAGACTGGAGAACAAAGACATGATGGCTAAATTTACTTCGAGTCAGAGGAGCAAGCAGGCAGCTCTATCCTTCTAAGCCCAACAGGACTGAAGGACCAAAAGGCTTTTCACTCTCACCGACAACATACTCACTAAGAACATGCAAGCAGC